AATTTTTAATAGTGGCAAGTAATTTTAATTAATTTCATAAATTAATTAAATAGTAGCAATATTTTTGTACATTTATTTTGAACAAAAATTGTGAAGAGATTTGTAATAAAAATGACAAACAATTTGTAATATAAAAAGGGAAGTTCATCTGTACGTACCATATATATGGGGGTTATGACTTGCAAATGGGTTTGAACCCCTTTATACTCGTGTAACACATTAATTGTTACGTTGAAAATGACGTTGAAACTTTACCATTAGTTTGTAGATTATTTAGTTATTAGACAATTACTTATACCCTTACTCACGATCCAACACGAGGTGTACATTTGATATCACACTTGACATTCACATCGCATTGTCATCACAAATGGTTTTGTGAAATTGAAATGAGATTTCAGTTTTTTCACTTAATTTCATGAGATTAGTGTCGCCAAAACATTTCTATGTTAAGGTTGCCCTAGCAATGGGTAACATAATTTAAATGCCATGCTACAATTTTTATGTTTTTGAATTGAAATTTTTTTGACTATATTATAATACCACAGAAATAAGATTAAATGATATTTTAGGCAATTGTGAAAATTCAAATGTAATTATAAAGCTAAATTAAGTTTAATAAAATTAGAATGTATATAAAAGTTGGATATATTAGTCACCTTATTAAATTAAAATACTTTTAAAATTTTAAACTTAGTCTCAATATAATTGTATGTATAGGCTATTTTAAAATATTTTTTGTATTGGAACATTGGCTTAAAAATAGCTTGAGCATTTATAATTCAAACTATTTCTGGTGATCCCTGAGTTAAATAGTTTCATAATTTATTACAACTTACATCTTATGACAAGATTGTGAAAGACAGTAAAAATGTATATTTTTTCTTACTTACCTAAACTAACTAACTATTAATAAATAAATACAGAGGTATACTGTATTAAAGTTATTTTTGAATCCATGAAAAGCAGATTAATTTCATTTAATATAAAAGCAAGGTTTGATAAACAATGTGCTATTTAACCACGATTCTAGCTAAGAATTTATAGTTTACTTATTTGTGAAATTTTTAATATTCCACAATTGTCTTAAAGTTTAAAAAATACATATTATTATTGGAGGTATGTTGATGTTTGTCAGTAAAATCATATAAAAGGGTGGGGTGGGGGTGTGGTAAAATGATGCTATAATCAACTATTTTTATTAGTTAAATCGTGGTTTTTTCAATGGTATATAATAAACCTGGTAATCATTACAAGTAGAAAAAATATCTTTAAAATTGTTTAGATATATTAAATAGGATTATATCGCATGTAATATGTTAGATTTATATGATCAAATGTGTAATGTGATAAAAATATTATTTGTGTAATTTTTAAAATTGTTGTATAATTCTTAATTTAAAAAAATATATTTAATAATATAATCAATTAAGTTTCTGGGGTCTTTAAAAATTATTAACAACTTAAAGGTAAAATGGCATAAATTTTTATATTATATTACCTGGACAATTATACCATTTTGCGCAAAATTAATAATATTAAATCTTGCATAGTTTGTCTATCTAGTTTGTATCAAATGAAACGGTAATAAGTTTTTAACATGGACAAATTCATACATTTAATAAACTTCTTTAACAAAATTATTTTTAAAAATAAGTTATATAAAAACGAAACATACCGTTCAACTGTGCTTTAATATAACTGAATAGTACTGTTAATTACACATTTTAATACAATGTGCTTTTAGTTTTAATTAATCTTATATAAGTTTATTTCTATTTATCATATATAATTTATATAAATTTTAATTTACCCTAGGCATAATAACCAATGGGCACGTACAAGCTGAACATTTCGGACTCAACTCAAGAATTAAATCCAAGTAATTTGCCAAACGATGACTTAAAGACAATTAAAAGGAAATTTTACAAATATTTTCCAAACGTTTTAAAGTTACGGCGACTCGCCAATAAAAAAGTATTACATTTTAAAATTTATATATATTTTATAAACTTATATACAGGGTGTCCCGACGTATCGTAACTTTCAATTGAAATTAAAAATATGTATATAAATATTATATCCACAATGATTATACAATATGCTTGAAATTTATTAAAATTTTGTAATGGATTCATAAAATATTTATAAGATTTGTACCCTGGTCATAATCTAAGGTGAAATGCGTGTTCATCTAATTAAAACACACAAATAAAACACTTATTTCGTGTATGTAACGCAAATTATGACCAGGGTATGCATCTTATGAATATTTTATAAATTCCATTTAAAATTTTAATAAATTTCCATTATTTGGGTATAGTTTTTGTTGATATAATATTTTTGTAATATTTTTAATTTTAATAATTTTAATTTCATACTTACTACAAATTACTTTCATACTTTGTACTAGTATGATGCAGTTTATATTGATGTCAGTTAAATTAGCATGATAAATGCAATAGTGTTTTTAATGTGAGAACTTTTTTTTATTAATTTTTAATTTTTAAATTTAATAAAAACTAGTATATTGCCAGTATATTTAAAAAATAACTATTTTTATGAGTTGAGACATAACTTATGACTCACACAATAATAGCGCCAAAACTTTAATATGAATTTTATTTAGATGTTTAGTGAGTTGGCTAAACTGGTCTAGCTATGAATATACATTGTAATAGTAAATTAATAAAATATACATGTCTACACCATTTTAGCCAACTCATTAAATGTATTATTTACTAATCATATACTAATATATAGGTGCATACACACTCAATCAATAATAATATATTTGAGAAAATTATTGGATTATATAATCACTAAATATTAAGTTGAATAAAATTATTGTTTATAAATGATTTGACAAATTATTGGTATTAGATCTTGTTTACTAAAACAAAACATAACTTTCAAATTTGCTTTCATATAACTGTGTACTACTGGTTAGCGCTGTTACAATCATATTAATGCAGAGTTGAAAGGTGTGTTTTGTTTTATTAAACCAGATATATGATAATAAATGCACTTATTATCACTGCATATAAGTGTAAAATTAACTGTAAATTAACTTTTAAGAACTTTAGTTAAAGCTATTTTTTAATTGTTGGGTTAGTAGACACAATAGATTACAAGGTGATATCAGTGAATTGCATAATAAAATTTTAATAATATATTGTACTTCTTTCTTACAGAAGGACCAAGATACAAATCTAGAATTAGCCAAAAATGTGAAAATTACTGAACATTTGCTGTCATTGGAGGAGTTGTGTGCTAAACTGGGGACACACCATGAAAATGGTATATCAGAGACAGAGGCAAAGGTATGACTACCTTGATCATATGATTAGGATATATTTGTTGAATTTTATAAATTTTATAATTAAATACCTAAAATTTGGTAGATTATATTTACCAAAAACTACGTTTATTTTTAATTACAAATTGACCTTGTTTGTGATCACAGGCACGGCTGGCCCAGAACGGCCCTAACGCCTTCACGCCTCCCAAACAGACCCCCTATTGGCTAATATTCGTAGAGGAGATTACGGCAGGTTTTGCCTTGCTACTTTGGGCCGCCGCCATTGGCAGCTATATATCCTATGGAATTGAGTTTGTTCCGCAAGATGTATGTTAATTAGCAATATGTGCTTGATTATTACAAAACCTGACTTTCAACTCGAACTCATGCGATATATAAAAGCAAAGTTGAATGTCTGGTTTTGTTATATTTAAACACACATTTATTTTAGCATTTACAAATTGCTATTATTTGTCCCATACATAGATGTCGGTGGCTGTTGTATTAACAGTGGTGGTGTTAGGAACAGGCACATTTTCCTTTTATCAGAGAGTCAGAAGTTCTGACGTGTTCTCGTCGTTCAAGAATATGATACCCCCGGTAAGTGTTATGCGTCCAGAATAATACCTACTTAAAAGGACAAGGTCATTTTGATCACTCGGGATCTAATTTGAACAGTTACTGATGTAATTCTGTACTTATTCTGGTCAATATTAGTAGGTTTTTAATCTCAAATAGGGTCCAGAATATTCTTTATAAGAAAATTCGTATCCTATGTTAACATATATGAAAAGTGCTTACAACTCACTCATTTCATAAGGCATTTGAAAAATACAATTAATTTAGGCAAAATAATAATTATAGATAAAAAGTATTTAATGTAAATAATATAAATAAAACTTGCAAAATCTTCATTAAATATGTTATAGCATACGACTACTAAAATAAAACGTTCACCACATCATAATCATTATCATTCAAATTAGTTACTACTATTAGGTTAAAACCTATTTTTAGAAAATATATACGTTATATTTGAGTAGCCGTAAGCTGCATTTATAATCAAGTATTTAATGAAGATTTTATAAAAGTTTTATTTATATTATGTTGCCTCATATACAGTATATTTAATTAAAATATATTTCATATGCTTTTAAATAGGATAAGAATTTGCGTATAAAGAATATTCTGGGTCCTAATGGAGCTAAAAATAATCTAGAATTAACCAAAATATGACATTGATCATATCTATAGTAGTGATAATTTAAAATAAATTGCTTTTAGCAAACCTACGTAGTTAGAGGTGGACAGAAAATGTTGATACCGGCTCAGGATATAGTGGTCGGCGATCTAGTGTACTGCAGAAGTGGTGAGCGTGTGCCGGCTGACATGAGGATTGTCAGGTACGTGCGAAGCTGTAGTAATAGCACGGAGCACATGGCGGTGTCTAGCGTTCCCAAAACCTCAAGGATAGGGCAGGAGTTTCAAAAAATTATTAATTTGCTCGACGAAACATTTTATATAAAAATGGCCATGTTACAAATGTTTGTTAAAAATTAGGGCGTCAGATTTGGGAACGTTATGCGCGGCATAACCTAACATAGCCATAATGTACCCGCATTTTAATCAATTGCGTAAGCATGTTGATTTATCTAATTGAATATGATTTGTAATGATGACCCAGGTGCGAGGGCATGAAAGTGGACAACTCGTCAATAACGGGCGAATCGGATCCATTGAGCCGATCGCCCGATGCCGGACACAACGCCCCACTCGAGGCCAAGAACTTAGCCTTTTTCTCGACCAATTGCGTGGACGGCAGTGGCTTCGGTATGAGCTGGCTCACTGGCGATGACTTTATTTTTACTTTAATATATCGGGTCAAACAGAAAATCTTTTTTTTCACAAACTTGAATAACATGTTTATAACAGGTTTCTGTATAAGTAATAGTCGTAATCTGTAAAAGGTGATATTAATATCACCAATGACGAAATAATGTAGAAAGCAATGATTATTATTATTTCTATACATGCTACTTACTATGCAAATAATATATACCAAAGAATTTCTAAATTATAAATATGAATTTTTGATTTAAAAGTTATTCGAACAAAAAATTTCTGTATGACCATATGTGTAGACATATAACCAAATCAGACTTTTTGGAAAATAGCATTTACTGTATATTATACTTTTAGTAAACTTCTGAGTGTGTATATTCATTATAAAAGTTTAATAAAAGTATAATATACAGTAAATGCTATTTTCCAAAAATTCTGATTTGGTTATATGCCTACACATATATTAGTAAACTTCTGAGTGTGTATATTCATTATAAAAGTTTAATAAAAGTATAATATACAGTAAATGCTATTTTCCAAAAAGTCTGATTTGGTTATATGCCTACACATATATATTACCAATGTAAAATGTGTTTAATGTAAAATATTTTAGGCATCGCCATCGCGACAGGCGATAACACGGTGATCGGCAATATAGCCAAACTGGTGTCCAATATCAAGAACGATCAAACGCCGATTGAAAAGGAGGTGAATCGATTTGTCAAAATCATCACGGTCATTGCCGTGCTCACCGGGCTCACCTTTTTTGGTATCGCGTTCGGTTTCGGGGGCACCTTTTTCCAGGCCTTCCTATTTATGATCGGCATCACTGTCGGCAATGTTCCCGAAGGTAACAGTAAATGTTTTATTGTACTATTAAAATAAAATATTTTTAAGTTCTGTGATCTAGTTTAATTTTTGATCTACAACAATTAGTAATGTTATAGCAATTAGGAACTTAGCACTGTAGCCCATGATACTGTATATTTATTATATGTGTCGGGAATATATAACCATATTTATGAATAAGTTGTGATTCGAAATTTAAAGCTTATGTTTAAAAGCAAAAAGCTTTCGATTCACAACTTATCTATAAGTCTGGGTTTATTTTCCCAACACAGATATGATGTAGAATTTATAAAAATTATTCTATTAGAGTTACATCCATAATTCAACTAATGTAAATTTACTGTACCGAACGTAATATTATTATTTTAATGTAATCGAGGGATAAATTATGGTATAGTCTAAATTAATTAAATATTAAAAATAGAATAATGGACATTACACACAAAAACAGTGCCCATGTTGGCAAGCGAGATTAGTCCCAAAATGACCATTATAATTAATTTAACTAACACTATCTACATATATGCCGATCCGTAAGGCCTACTGCCGGCGATGACAGTCTCCCTAACGATGACCGCCAAACGGTTGGCCTCCAAACATTGTGTGGTCAAACAGCCGCAGTCTATCGAGACACTTGGCGCCACCTCTGTCATTTGTACGGACAAAACTGGCACACTCACTCAAAACCGGATGACCGTCGAGTGGTGTCACGTGGGCGGCCAGTTGTTTCCCGTCCAACACGCCCGGGACGACATCGACGGGCAGATGGCGCCAGTGGCCGACTCGTGGGCGGCGTACGCCCGGTGCTGCCGCCTATGTTCTCGGGCCGAGTGGGTCGACACGGATGACAACCCGGATATTATGAAGAGGCAGTGCGCGGGCGACGCTTCCGAGACGGCAATACTCAGGTGCGCGTAGCATGTGTGCCGCTATTTTACCTAATTTAAAACTTTCTAAGTAAGCATTCACTTATAAATCACCTGGTTCTACCCCAAAAGACCTAAACTCAAATAACTAACTGACCAGTGGACGTATATATAATTTAATTAGTAGAATAGACGTGTCATAACCTATTCTAATCTACCATAACCTAAATTAAGTCAAATGACCACTGGTCAGTTATATATTTAAGTTTAGGTCTTTTCGGTTTAAGGTCTTTTGGTTGAGTCCCAAATCACCTATGTAACTCGAGTTTGTGATTCATATGTAAATGCCTACTTAGAAAAAGTTTTAAATTCGCTGAGCTACTTGATACACTTTTGGGGACACAATCTCAAATGCCCTAATTTATCCTTAAAAAGCCATTTTATGCCTATTATTCATTATGATCTTGTTCATTTAAATTGCGAACAGGTTCATGGAGTCGGTCACCGGCCCGGTAGTCGAATATCGGGCCCAATATCCGAAAGTAGCTGAACGGCCGTTTAGCTCGAGCTATAAGTACCAGTTCTCGATACACCGTAACCCCTCTCCGGGCCAGTCGGGCGTCAACTTCTTTCTGGTGATGAAGGGGGCGCCCGAGCGGGTGGTGGCCATGTGTGGCGCGTACCTGACCGGGAACGGACAGGTCGAACGGGTGGACCCGGTGTTCATGGAGCGCTTTGAGGAGACCTACCGCGAGTTGGGCTCAATGGGACTCCGGGTGCTGGCGCTGTGCGACCGCGAGTTCACTCAGTTTCCGGCGAACCATACGTTCAATTTGGACGATGAGATGGGTTTCGAGTTGACGGACATGCGATTCCTGGGGCTGATAGCCATGATCGACCCACCAAGGTATATATATATATGATTGACAACGTGCAATAGTGAGTTAAGTACTTACACCTGGTAAACTTAGCTCACTATTATATGTTGCCAATCATATATAAATATTAATGAACTAATATAACTAACATAACTCTTCGATGCACACTCGAGCCATTTGGGGCCACAATAGTGTTTAAACAACTTTTACATTTCATTATATTAGTCGCAACACTAGTTTTTACTTTATCATTATAAACTTTATAGTCACTTTAACAAGGT